ATTAGAAAAGCAAATACATTTTTTGAGTTCTTCGAGACTTCTACTAACAAAAGAGTATTAGCAGACTAACAGTGGAGTTTTTTTTTCAGCAAAATATAAGCGAGATATAAAAAACGCGTGGTTGTGTGCAACATGATTTTATTTTTGATTTTACAGCGTTATGAAAAGATATTGCAAGAAAGCGGTCATGTGTAACTCTAGCCAAGGATATAAGTTTTCAAATAAATACTAAGACTCTTATGAAAAATTTTAGTCCAGCAAATGAAGTCAAAAAATTTTGTTGCCGTCTTACAGAAAAAGACCCTTGCGTGTTTACACATCACTCAAAAGGTCAGCCCATAAAATTTGTTTCGTTGACAAGTTGGGGGCCAATATTGACATTCTTTTAGCGGATATAACGTTATATCGCTACAGTCGTTGCAACGAGCAGATTACGCTAAACAGAGCAATATTTATTCTCTTTCTATAGTTTTAATATTTGTACCAAAGCGTTTCCAGTTCACCAACTCAGATTAACCGCAGTGGACCATCACAAGGTTTACTCGGCTCGAAGATTTCCTTGACAGCAACGACAATGACTTGACCGAGTTGCTCATAGGTGGTCAATTGACGGGAAGTGATTTACACAGTGAAGCCCATTATCGTGTTTCAAATCTCAAGATCACTTCAATGCCATTCTTCGGCCTATGTTTTGAATTACTACGATTACACGTTTACTCCCATATGTGTAAGCGCGTGAAATCACTACGATTACATTTTTACACTTATATGTCTAAACGCGTGAAAGCCGACTGATTATCTCTATTTATGAGAAATGATAGTCATTTTCAACCTCAATGATCTATGAATTGTCTGGAGTCAAGTCCACCTTCCATTGATAATGCAGATGAATTATACCTGTTCAACTGTTTATTACGTGAATGAAGAGTAGTTTTATTCGAAAGTCGACAAATGTAAAGTGTCAACTCAAAATTATCCTCAGGCCTTCGAGTATATTGCGATGATATTATGATACGTTCAGCAATTTTTCAAAAAACCTAAGTTTTGGCAGAGGTTTCCTAGTTCTAACAAAAATTTGATAAGCGTGTGTTCCCTTTTCAAAACAATGTTGTGAGACCAAAACTAATCCATTAAATCGACTGTTTACTGCTTACCCACTAGATATGTTAGGAACAGAAATGAGCAACTTCTCTTCAATTGTTTGATATGTTAAGAAATGCATCACGTTTCTAAACTGGAAAAGAGTGTGCAATAACTTGTTCCTAGATGAGACCTACGCGTGGGGGCTACCCAGGTGTGGAAATTTCAATTTTCTCGCATAAAAACATAAAAGTATACTTGCGTTCTCCTCTAAAGGCAACATTTCGAAGCAGTCATGCTTTCAGAACACAAGAGCAACAGTTTGGCGAGCTTCATAAGGTGAGTCCTCGTGTGTCTCATTCATTGTTATGACATCAATGAAGATGATTCCAAATTCAGGTCGTCATTGTCGGTCACATTCACAAGGCATCAACTTTCGCTTTAAATGCAGTTGATGCAGTGTCCTCTCCATAGGCTCAGTAGATCCTTCATCAAAGTAAACGAAGGCTCAGTTGCATATAAAGATTTAGATTTATTTTAATTTTTACGAATTCACCTTTTATGTGTTTTATCGTCGCGTGCTCTGGACATCGTTCGTTTTGTCACATCTGCACCTTTTTCGATAATCTAAGTTCTTTATGAATTGAAAAGTTGAACAAGTTTTAGATTTAATTTTATCTAGAAAATTTGTGTCACGATCCTCATGTGCTGGTCCTTTCGACACTGTGGACCCACGACCACTGCATCTTAAACACGCAACTCTGAACGTTCTGCTCCACCCCTGCATCTTTAACCCCCAAAGTGTTGCTTCTAGCAAAGGCAGGCTGTTGCGTGAAACAACGGAACGCTGCTGCGTCTAACAATGGCACGCTGAGGGATAAATATGCAGAGGAGGTGGAACACACCGTCCAGAGTCGCCACTCACAGATGCAGAGGCCGTGGGTCTACAGTCACGAAAAGGCTAAAGAATGCTGAGATGAGCAAGTTACTTAAGCACGTCGATGAGTGATAGCTATTTGATAACACCGGTAAGATTGAAATCAATGCTGAGGAAAAGGCAGAGCAAGGGTCTCGATGTTGCAGTGGGTAAAGTGTCAGCTTCGGTAAGACTAATCACATGTTCGAAACCATCTCTACTTTTGGTTCTGCCCGTGTCTCAGCATCCTCATAATTATAACTCACTTAGTAGTTCTGCTATCGACTGCTTTTTTTACAGACCCGCTCAAAATGATTTAATCTGATAAGGATATGACATATTTTGAGCCATAGGTCTAGTGCTATATAGGCGCCTATTTCGTCCTATTGGGACTCATCAGTAGCACCCTCCCTCGGTTCCGTCGCTCCCTTGAGGTGAAACAATCCTCCAAAGGAACCGGCGCCGAGTAAAATTAAGCACCCAAAGTAATAACATCATCCTACTTTGGGTGCTTAATTTTACTCGGCGTCGGTTCCTTTGGAGGATTGTTTCACCTCAAGGGATCGACGGAACTGAGGGAGGGTGCTACTGATGAGTCCCAATAGGACGAAATAGGCGCCTATATAGCACTAGACCTATGGCTCAAAATATGTCATATCCTTATCACTTAGTAGTGCTAAAATTTTTCAAAAAGCCTTCATGCTATTGATTTAGATCCATTCAATGTAAGAAGGTTACGGAATGTTGTACGTTTGCTAAAAAAAGGTATTCATAAGCCTCGTTAAAGATAGAGCGAATCCGTCGTGCATAGCCTAGATTTATCTAATCCATCCATACGTGGCTCCATCACCGCCTGGTTTTAGCGAAACTTGAAATGTTACACTTTTTGGATGAGACCTTTCACTTTTGATGTCTCTGAGGCAAGAGTCGTGGATAGCTTGCCGAAAGCTGAGGCACAATGAGTAACGTGTCGAACTCTTATTGATAAAAGCTATTCATTAGAGATGACTCTAAGCAGTCAGTCTCTCATGTGTTCCAACTCCACTGAGGGCACTTTACCAAACAGAATTCGGATCGGTTCGTGCAGATGCATATATGGTGATTTTTGACCTAGTTACAAGTCCACCTAAGGGAACGAATATACAGCATTCCATGATATCTTTTCACTAATACATGAGCCTCAATGTCTTTCAATTTACTATCGCAGGGGGAAATGAGCATTGATCCAAAGTGGAAAAGCCCAGACACACGCAATGATTGTTGTGAATCAAAAGTGACCATTAGCAAAAAATCGAAGAAATACAGTATGGTCAAAAACTATTTGTTTTATCGGAGTCTCTCATGTGGCGCCAATAGCCACGGAGAGGTAAGCATGCGTGCGCCATGTGTTGACGCACGATATCCGAAATTGGCTAACTTGTGCTTTTGCACATTTAATGAACTCATATCAACATGAAGCATACAAAGTTTTCTTTGTAGGTTAGGTTGATCGGTTATTCGTCTTCTCCATCTTAAGATAAACTTTGAATCCAACCTAAAGATAAGGCTACTTAACTCGCCCAAGAAGAATGTTAAAATCCGACTAAGTGAGCTAAGTCTCACTTTTACACGGTTAGAAGCTCTCGGCGTTCACCAATCTCTGAGGTATGCGGCATGTATTCGCCTTCATCTAGCGTTGTTTGAGGTGATTGAATGCCGACCTGGCCTGCGCAATAAATGATTCACGGTGCCCTCCTCCAACATGTACGAAGTCAAAGCTAATATACTCCGACAACACTGGCGTCAATTCGGTCGATTGTAGAGATAAAAAAAACTTGAGCCCTGGGTAGCGGGTCGAACCACTGACCATTGATTCATCACTGTTGTATGTGTCGCACCACCTCTGAACTCTGTGACACACAGATGTTGCCATGAGCCTCGTTAGCTCAGTTGGTAGAGCGTTAGACTTTTAATCTAACGGCCAGGGGTTCGAGTCCCCTACGGGGCTGACCGTTTTGAAGTCTCACTAGTAAATTAAGGACAATTTATTGTATGATAGCATTGTGCTATGGGTGGCATTAGTTGGGCATGATATTGTGGCCTTACGTGAGCCTCGTTTCAAATGAACTCACCACGCTACAGCCCTTTTGACAAAAAAGCTCATGGCTTCTGATTGAGAGGAAAGACAAGAAAATTCTTCAATTTTTTTGCTCTTCTGTATGGCGACGATTGGATCGTTGATTGACAAACGAGAAATGCAATTGTTTTTAAGCTCAGTTGGTAGAGCGTTAGACTTTTAATCTAACGGTCAGGGGTTCGAGTCCCCTACGGGGCTGATCGTTTTGAAGTCTTACTAGTAATTCAACGGCAATTTATTGTGTGATAGCATTGTGCCATGGGTAGCCTTAGTTGAGGGTGATATTGATATATGACATGGTACTCGTTAGCTCAGTGGGTAGAGTGCTAGACCTTTACTCTAATGGTCACGAGTTCGAGTTCCTTACGAAGATGTGCGTTTTGCAATCTCATTTGCAAATCGAGTCCAGTTTGCAAAGAACTGTTCGTGCCTTACGTGTCGAAATCCACGCAAAACGTACAGCCCCGTAGGGGACTCGAACCTCTGACCGTTAGATTAAAAGTCTAACGCTCTACCAACTGAGCTAACGAGGCTCTTGGGAGGACCTCTGTGGCCACAGACAGAGGTGAGGCGACACATACAACGTTGATGAATCAATGGTCGATGGTTCGACCTCGTACCCAAGGCTCAATTATTTTTATCTCCACAGCCGACCGAAATGACACCAAACTTGTCGTAGGATATTAGCTTTGACTTGTTACATGGGGGAGGAGGGCACCATGAGTCATTCATTGCGCAGGTCAGGTAGGCATTCAATCACCTCAAACGACGCTAGATAAAGGCGAATACATGTCGCATCCCTCAGAGATTGGTGAACGCCGAGAGCTTTTATTTTCCTTTGTTAGAAAAACTGATCTGTAGCCATTCCTAGCAGAGGTATCTCTCGTATAATACAGTATTGTAGTTACCTGGCGCGTCAGCACATACGTATTGGGGTTAAGCCTAAGCCAAAAGCTACTCAGTGTTTCTCTGAGACATAGTAAATCTAAGAGACGAATATCCTCTTCCCGCTCGCTGCGCCGATCTAACCCATGCCGTGTGTGTCGAAGTAGATGTGTTTATGCATGCATGTATGCATGTGTTCTCGTTTATGTCAATTGCATTATACGAGTCAATTCGGCAAAAAGTCTGCAATCGTATAAGTGTGAAGTACATGGAAGGGGTTAGGATGGGTTACCAACAAGTAAGCTCTTCTCCATCTCTCTGGAAGGATAAGTCACCAACAAGTAAGCTCCTCTGCGTCTTTCTGGAAGGATACGTCACCAACAAGTAAGCTCCTCTGCGTCTCTCTGGAAGGATAGGTCACCAACAAGTAAGCTCCTCTGCGTCTCTCTGAGAGGATAAGTTACCAACAAGTAAGCTCCTCTCCGTCTCTCCGGAAGAAACTGATAAGCTACCCGCGAATAACCATCCTCACGTTCAGTACTCAGCTAGCCATACGTGAGCGTTCAATTGCATGAAACGTTGATTACACAATTAAAAAGCACGCCTTGTTCCTCTGGACCCAGGAGGAGCTTCCGATTCGGCAGCAGTGGAAAGGACGAGTCCACAAAGGCTGCTAAAATCTTACAGACATTATTGACTGCCTAATTGCCGACGGACTAAGACAACTTGTACCTATTTAAACACTTTCTCCTGTGGGAATCCTCTATAGAGAATTCAATCATGCAGGCAAGATGATAACACACGACGTCAGCGGAATGACGGAGACGATAAGTCACCGCCTATGACACGGGAGAAGTGTTCTTCGAAATTGCGATAGCAGTAAAGTCAACGCGGTGATGGCGTTACTTTAATTCGACTTTGGTCTCGAACATCGACTCATTGAAACAACAACCCAGATTGGATTCTTACGACTAAGGCGGTTGGGAACAATTTCCGCTGTGACCATATTTTTAGTTTATACACCAGCATCAAACTATGATGAGGCGAACGAAGTCGAAACGTTCCATATGGACTCTATGGGATAATTCCACAGAAAAGACCATATATTTTTTCATCAAAGGTTTTGACATTAAAAATGGACCCAGATGAACACCTCAAGAGCGTCACATTCGGATCTATTCCATAAAAACAGCAGGAATAGGGAGAGGCGCTGTCTGAATCTCATGATGACTAAAACTCTTCGTGTAAACTCACAGCTCCACAAACCGCGCCATCGGCGGTGGACGTTGGAGTCTCTCAAAACGAAATACCGTCATCACATCACCACAATTGAATGATCTCAAGCAAATGACGAGATGGATCAGAAACTTCGATGGCTGTTCTCCTCAAAGCCCAACAAAAGGTGACCAATCCTTCTGCTCGATAACGAAGGAGTAACACATGATATTATCAACACTGTAGAAGTTGAATGAGCTCAACTACAAAATTCTGGCTCATATGGATGACAATCGCTCAACCTCTTGCCTACTGACTACCTCTTCTTGCAAGCTTCTCAATTGATTTCTGTGCAAGAAATACTCCAGAAGCTAAGACGAGGCCAGAACTGCCTTCAACAACTTCGTAACCTGAAGTCCAGAAATTTTTGTTCGGGAATATAGGATCTTTTTTTTGTAGAATGAAATGAAATCTGTACTCTCATGCATTTGTCCGATAGCAAACGTCTAGTTTGCGTCGTTGTTTTCGGAGAATTCACGTTCGCAGCCGAGCTCTAATTGGCAAGAACATCAACGCAACCGTTGTTCTCTACTCTGAAACCTTAAACAATCTAAGTAACATCCTTACTCTTCACTCTCATTAGCGGCGATCAATATTCAATTGTGCCTCTCGGCCACTCCGATAACGTCACACTTAACCATCTTTAATTGGGTTATATCAAGTCACATTTACAAACCAGCATTTCTCTGTTCTTCAATCAGCTAACTCAGAGCGATACCATGACTATTAGCTCTTGAGATTACCAAGTGTTTTCACTCCCAGTCACGTGTCCCAAGTAAAGCTATAATATAAATGCAGTACGCTTAAAACTTTCTACGCTACTATAAATGTATGACCCTATACTGGCACTTCCTGCATTGTTCCCTCGCATTCATCGCCCACGAAGGCCTTCCAACATTTGGCGTGTTGTAAACCGACAACTTCGGCATTACCAATCAATCACAATCTCTTTCTTGATTGACCCTCATGCTATAGGTTCAATAAACAAATAAAATATTGTTTTAGCATGTTGTTTCAGCCTGTTTGAGAATTCTACCTAATTTATGAATGTCGTGGAATACAAATCTCCTTAAAATCTTGAACATAGCGGAGCTAAGCCGTTCCCTATGGCACGATGGTTAAAGGATTGATTTCATGAATGATCGGCAAGTTATATTTCATTGGATAGGGCATGAAGGGATGCTCATAGAGCATGGAGAGAGGGGCTCCAACCAGCACCTAGTTTCCTGATGAACTGCACCACTAATCACTCAGCTACCGCGTCTTCCCTAAATATGATATTCCACTGTGTACAGTACTGGCTGCTGAGACACGATGTTTATGTAAAAGCCCGTTTATGAAATTGAAAAGTGAAAGGCAAAGAAAATACAATATTGTTAAACATTTCGAATTGATCTCCAGAAATATGGATTCTGCTCAAATCGACGACGGAAATTATTATACCACTCCTGTAGCGCTGAGACAGGAATGTAATCAGCAAAACCTGAACATGGAATTTCTCACAACACTGGGATTTCAAAGGCTTTTGTTTCAAAAAGTATTGGAGCTTAAATAAACTATTAAACAAACCATGCCCATCTGATCTTGCCAATCTAGTCGTGTATGATTCAGCATGGTTTACCAAATTCCGCAACATTGTTTCAGCGAATTCACCTAACGTCGACTAAATGAACTGGTTTTGATTTCAAAATACACGTAACAGTTAGATAGTTTTGTTTTGATACGAAAACCATCATTGTCTGCCTACTGCCTACAGAGAAAGTTCCTTTCTTGAAACGTTGGGAATGACAGTTTATCGCTCTGCGCTCGCGAATCTCACATTCAATCAAGGTTTTCTTTCTGTTTCAAGAGAAAAGAAAAGATCTCTCTATTTCACGAGAATTTTCAGGTTGTCCGTGTTACTTTGATACCCCGCGATTTCCTATACCCCCTCCTATGATTTCTGTGCATAAAGATCTCTTATATACATATATAGCTCGGATGTTTAACATAGTCTTCTGTTCGTTTTTCGGAATCACCGAAACTCAAGTTACTGAAAAGTATTATGTCCAGTGAAAAGCCAAGCAAGGACATCAGCTGAGCATAAAACGCAAACCAAATGGGAAATATAACTTCCTTTTAGCTGTTACAAACATTAAAAAGGTATATTCGAAAATCAAAGACAGTAGTGAAATCGCCGTTTCTCAAGCTACCAAATCACTACCAAAAGTCGGATGGAAAAACTCCGGCGCAAAATCCAATGAATTAACCGCGCATTCTTCAAAATGTGTGTCGTCTCACAACTGAAAAGATACAAGCGCTTTAACGTATCAATGCCACCTTCACTTAGAAATGATGATCAAGCTCCACACAAAGCAGACAACTGTTGAGAGCTTGCAAGCTTCGATATATGTTACGAATCAGAATAAATGAGGCACATGAGGTGTCTGATTGTCCGAACTGTGAAATGTATCCACTTTACCTGCTGAGTGGCTTCAGTGCCATCAGCTGCTTCTCGTCCTTCAATAGCTGTAAGCGGTTCGACCATTAACCCAACCTGTACAGAACCGATCGCACTAACACTCATGCCGCCGCTAAATATGTCTGTGTGACGAACCTCCGATAGATGTAGCTAAAAAAAGTAAAGCTGTGGTGATTATCTCAAAACTCTTTCTGGTACAATTCCTTTTTACTTGATCCATTTTTCAACGCTCTTGAAGGCTAGGCATTTCCCGCTTTTTTTTTAGATTATCAGCTGTCATTCGATAGCCTAAGTTTCGGAAATTTTAGTATTGTACTTGATTACTTTCTGATAAACCTTTCTTTCTTAGTGGCTGTAGCAGCACAGATAAGACTGAGTCTACATCAGCGCACATCATCGCGTTTCCTGAGTCGCGCTGCGCGTAGCTAACTTGAATCTGCTTGGGAAGGCGCAATTTTTGTTCTTTATTTGTAATTTCATTCCTTTCGTAGAAAAACCCAGGTTTCTAGTACTAAAATTGTAGCAATGACTTCGTTCTACCGTTCTATGGGCTTAAGCATATTTCCATTTCATATTGCTATATAAATCCGCTTTGACGCCTAAACCTAGAGTGCGAAGTGTAATCATCTTTTCGCTCTTCCAGCGCTCTGTGCAAACCTTTTCAAAAATCAAACTTAGCTTCGGAATCACCAACATTTATGCTGCTAAGCAGCTACTAAGCCTGTCAAAGAACCACCACAAATCCTAGCTGA